AGTTTCCAAAATAAGAAACTGACTGAATTCCCATTAAGTTTCTTGACCCTATCTTTGTCCAAAAAAGGAGCTATAATAATAGCTGAAGACAGTGGATCTTCAGATCATTGAAAATAGGTTTATTCTTCCTGGTTTCCTTTGACATAAAAATAAGTTTCCAGTTGGAAAATGGGGAGCATCTGACTAACTAGTTCATAATATGGGTCAACAGTGTAAAAAGGTTCAAGTCCCATTCCAGGATATACTAACATTATTAGCACTAGTGAGACCTTAGTGGAATATTTAGACCAGTTTCTGTAAACTGTTCTCGAACAGTAATACCAAAGATTAGAGAAATTGTGGAGTTGAGAAACAAAACTGTAAGTTTAGGAGAAATGACCCACAAGGAAAGGTGTAAGAACTTGAGGTTGCTTCGTCTTTTAAGGCTACCTATTATCAGCGCTGTCTTTTCGTTCTCCTTGTCCTGTCACTGCATCTCTCCTTTGACAGAATGCCACTTTGTGTTCCACAGTTCCCAAATGCTACGGTTGCCTCAAAGTCCCCTTAATTATTTAGTGACACAAGCTCAAAAGGACTGAAGGGAGGACTGGAAATTAAAGGAAGGAATTTAAAGGCTGTTACTGAGGTAGTGCTGGGATAAGGGAACAATTGATGAATAGGCAGGTGAAAAAGTTGGTGGTCTGCTTCATCTCTTGAAAAGCACTGGAATATGGGGATGGGAACCAGGTTTTCTCTGTGGCTGTAACAGGAAAAAGAATAAATTGCAAATTTAAAAAGATTTCCACTTGTTAATGCAGTAAAACCTTGCAAGAGGCTATCAAATGAGCCTCCAGAATATCTTTCTCTGGATGTTTTGAAAGCAGACTGAACAATACAACTGTTGGTAATGAATCAAGTATAAATAGGCTATATCAGCTCAAAGGCTTGACAGTCCCTTCTCTGCTGTTGTCGGAGGGATGGCCTGCACAGGATTCTGTGGCATACAGTATTGTATTCAACCTCAGTTATGAAAATGAAATGCTCGTTAGTGCTGAAGTGATTTTCAAAGAAAACCTGTGTTGGAAATTCAAAAATACAGAACTTATTGGAGATTTAAAATATAGTATGTAATGTTATTATTGTGATCAATGGAGGTAAAAGAGCAGTTATAACATTATTTCTTGAAGAACTTAAATTGAATGAGTTTTAATTCTTAAATTATGTTATATAATGCATATATATATGCATTTGTGTGGTACATACATATATTACAAATTACTGTAAAGTTCACTCTCCAATAGTAGCTCTGTGAATGGCTAGTGAGAATTTTTTAGGCATGACATTCTGAATACTTTCCTGGGTTTGATATATCCAGGACTATTAAACCCAAAGCTATTGTTGCTGTTCCTGAGCTTCTATGATTCACTTTGGTGTAAGCTGGTAGTACCTATCAGCAGAGCGTTACTGTATGCTTTCTTTAGTCTTCTATTGTTTCCACTGCTAGACATTGTTAGAAACAGCATAGTAGGGTAAGATGGACCTTTCATATGGAGGGATGTTTGTTAGGATTTGTCTAAACTCAGTTTATCTGTGGACCAGCACTTCTGCTTCTATAATATTGGATAATAGTATATATTTCCTGTATTTTTATCCCAGAATTTGAAAATATTCTGTCAGTGGTACATTTTCAAATTTCTGTTTTCCCTTCCTGTAAATAACTCTTCATCTTGCGGAAGAGCTTGGTGTTCTGCTAGTGGTTTGGTTTCCCTTGAAAAGGTCGGTCATCCTCTGAATTAAGAGAACGGGCCTTGATCTGACCACTAAAATGAAAGTGAAGATATTCCAGGTGTTTATTATATAGGGTATAATAACTTCCAGGGATTTGCAGTCAAATATAGGTGAGCCAGCTTTGATCTGCAGTTTGATTTCGGATGGGTGTCTTCACCAGTGAACACACTTTCCCCTGCAGACTTCATTTATATTGCTCATAGTCTTCTACTGGCAGGCTGCTTGTTGCCTTGTTTCCTCCTGATCCCAGGCTGCAGGTATTACCTTTGTGTTCGTCTGTTGCACCCCGTTTGGTGGCTGGATTACATTCAGCAGAAGTGAAAGGATAGTTTGCCAGAGATCTTGTTTGTGTAGTATGGGTCTATTTTGTGCTCTTATCCTTAAAAATGGGACACCGTTAATACGCATGAGGCATAGTAATTATTTTTCAGTGTATTAGTAGACGATGTTGGCAAATTTCCATTTAACAAATAAACTACAATCATTTAATTATAGCTGTTTCAAGTTGAGTTTTAAAGAGGACCGGGTGTTTATTTTATGAAAGCTACTTTTGTAGCTCTGTAGGTCATGGTAGCTTTTTGTTTGTTTTCTTTAAGGCATTTTACTTCATGGAAGGAGACATGCTTTACAAACTGTACTTGTAACAGAAATTACATGTATGTTACCTCCTACTCTTTCTAAATGAAAGATTGTACAATAAAACTGATTCAAGGATTAAAATTAGATGGATTTATTAAAATTGAAGTCTCCCTGAATGGTGTTTTTGAAATTGGAAACATTGATGTTTATTGCTGTGGCTTGGAAAGAACATGGTTATGAGTTGATGCCTCTTTAAATTCCTACATATTTTTAATGATACAAAGCATGATTCCTGTTTGGAAATTGACGGTATAAAAGTTGGTTGTCTTCTGCTTCATTCCCTGCATTAACCAGAGCTTACTTGTGGGCGTCGCTGTAACTGTCCTGCCTGCTCCTCTTCTGAAATTCGTTGAGTAGAGAGAGCTGAATGCCAGCAAACGTAATTGCTGCTGAACTAACACCTATTGCATTTTGTGTTAATATTTAGAGTTCTGCAGTGTAATTGTTCAGGTAGTGCTGCAGGTCCTGTTTGTGTGGCCCTTACACAGGAGCAACAAAGGATGGAGGTGAACAGCTGGGAGAAACAACCGCTCTGGCCATCCTGCTCAAATTGCTTGCAACTATGTGTTTTCACAACCTTAATTAGTTACCAGCAAAATAATGAGCACAAGGCTGAGTTAATGATAAAGGTTAAGAATGTAATTAATGTGTTTTTATTGAAAATAGATCTTATTTTGAAAATTCTGACTTCACTTTTTGCGATTTATGTATTAGGTAGAGAGCGGTAAATATGAAGACATAATATTGTTGTAACTCTTACTGGAATGTACTGCACTCCACTTAATACATCATAAAGTTCTTACTAAAAGATTAGATTATACCGTGTCATTGAAGCATTTGCTAAAACATTCTTAACTTACTAATTGACATCTCAGAAAGTAGTTGTAGGTAAAGAATCATCCAATACCTGTTTCCTGTGGGTTTCTTTGGGGCATGTTAACAGTCTCTGAGCTTATAAGCATCTGCTGTGAATCAGTTAAAATTATCACTGAATGAAGTTGTGGGATGCATGGAGATTGGATTAATACTGAGTAATAGGGAGAGTGAAACAGCGAGAGAGCATGATCTGGATTGCTTAGCAAGATAAACTTGAGCAAATAAACATGCAAAGGTGCGTAACAAGATATATGAGTCAAGCTTACAGAATTAGGGACCATTCTGACAAAAGCAGCAATTTTGAAAATCTATCGGTATTTATAATGGACAGGTTGCTTCAGATGAACTCTCAGCATAACGCTGTAGTAAAAAGGCTAATATGTGATGTTGGATAAATTGCAGTTAGGATTAGTAGGGACTCACTTTCATATGTGTGAAAAACATGTGTTTATTTGTATTTATGATGTAGGCAGTACCAGTACTAGACTGTTACACACTTACATTTTTAGAACTGTTCATGAAATGGTGTTGAAAAATTGCACTATGGGTAAGTTCTATAAAATGATTCCAGCACTTCTTCTTGACTTTCTTAACAGCATTAAATTGCTTACTTGTTTGGAGAGATATTTGATTACATAATATAATTAATGACTGATACCACTACCCTGTAAGAAATTAGCTTTTCTAAAGGGCTCTTTAACATACAGAAGCAAGTGTAACAGAAAGCAGTGGCTAAACACCAAAACCAGGCATTTTCCAAGCTGCTGTTAACCCATGCATTTTAACAGTAGGGATAAATAGCCTTTTGGAGCAAGTTACAAAAGGAAGTAGTGCATACTCTATGTTTTCATATTCTTCAGGCCAACAGTGGATAATATGCTGGAGAATCTCAGAAGTCAAATAAAGGTTACTGGAGTTGATCCAGTCAAACTGGATAAAATTGAAAGGATCTGTAATAAAATGGAAATGTAACTAGAAGATTTAATGGTGTGATCTTGCTTTATTCCTATGAATCTCTAGGAAGAAAATTCTGGTCAATATACTTAGTGCATTGTTGCACATCTAGTAAATAAATTACTCTTTCTCATCTAATTTATTTGTATACATAAATTCTCTGTCTGTCTTAAGAAATAATACCATTGTCCATGGCTCGCTGTCCACAGTAAGGATTACATATTTTGCAGTCTGGCTATACATGCTGGTTTTGCTGGTAAAAGAACTGTTTAATCTGATTGATAAGCAGTTCTATCAATTGAATCTTAATGTGTTTGAATTAGGATATTACTTTTATAAATAGTACATGTTGAAGGAGATTGCTTAATTGGTATTCTTGTTACTTGTAGTTTTGAGTGGATTTTAATGAACTCAGTTTTACTAAAGGCAGTGTACACCTCAGCCAAGTGTGCCTTAGCCTTTGTCTGAAGTACTTGTGTTCAAATTCTGTGCTTTGTATTTTTACATTATCTTAATGTTATTGCATCATGAATATATACCAATATGATGTTTTCACATGTGGAGTACCTGCTGTTAAAAGTCTTCTATGCTATTCCATGAATTCTATCTAGACCAGTGAGTACTGTTTCATATGCTCTTGGAATTAAAAACATTATAATACCTAGTGCATCTTTAAAAAAACCCAAACAACTCTACCTGTATTTTTATGTTGAAGTGTGTACATGAAACTCTTGTTTATTTTTTTAATATTGTTTGCTTTTTAGTGAGAGGTTTATGGTGAGGTTAAACAAGAATGGAGGCCCCAGGAATCCAGAGAAGATAGATCGAATGTGTGCACTTTTCACAGTACGTGTCTGTTCCCTTTATTCTTCCCTTACGGTAGTATGATTGTAGATGTAGTCGCCCTGAGGGGAAAAAATCCAATTCTTCCTTTCCAATAAATATACTGAGTAGATAGGAAGCTGTTTCTAAGTTTTGTTATGGTTATAACTAGATGTTAACATAAGAAAATGGATGTACTTCTAAATTGGTTTTATGACTAAGTAATATTTGAAGTATTTCCCTTTTCAGTGTATTTGTTCCTGCTTATAGTTTGAAATTTTGAATATTTTCATTGCGTGTACTATGCTTTTAGATAACAGGGCACAGGAAGAAGCTGCGTTGGCCTGAAAATAAAGCAAGGCACTTTTTTCAGAATCAAAGCTATAAAAACTACTACAACAACACACACGCACAGAAAAACAGAAAATTCTCCAAACAGATTTTTGTCATGGCCCGTTCAAGAGTCCATGTAGCAGCCCCAGGTAGATGGTGCAGCAGTAGCCTCCCAGGTTGGCAGCACAGTGGGTGTGATGGAACAGAAAGACCGGGATGTGCTGCAGAAGCAGCAGGCAAGTTGAGCTACAGAGGGTTGGTTGTAATAAAGGAAACACTGTGACTTCCTAAGTTTCTACATTAGGTCTGTGCAAATAGCTACCCCATCCTGACGCAAAGCAGATATGACCAACTGTACCAGCAGTCTTCAACCATCTGTGCCAGAAATACAAGATAAGTAATACCCATCTGTGACTCCTACCAGATGATACCTCAGTTGGGAGTGAAATAGCCTGCTAGGGTTTACTTCCTTTTAATTCTTCAGACTCACCTCTCACCTAACTGCCTTCTTGTTTTATAATTTTTGTTATACCAAAATAGTAGTTTCAAAACACTCAATCTTCAATATCCATTCTGTGCTGGTCTTAAGTTCTGTTAAAAATTGCTTCAGAATCATGTGTCAGACCATGATTTTATTTGTCACTTCTCAGAAAGAATATGGAAATCTAGAGACACTGAAACTTAACAGCTCATCACAGAGTAGCTGTAAGGAATTTCAGATCCCAAGTGTGATAAACACCTTCCATCGTGACTCACCTTTAGCTAGTGCACATGCTAGAAGCTCTTTGACAGAAGTATTTTTACCTCCAGTGAAGAAAAAAAAAAAACGGCAGACGGCCTTGGCTATAAGCTTTAGTTCCAGCAGTGAAACCCTCTAAGGTCAAGCAGGGCTGGACACTGAAATAGGCATGGTTACCAGCACTGTTTCTGTTTCTCGTTTAAGAAGAAAGCTGAATTTCTCCTCTTAAGGAATAGAGTGTATCTAGCCAGGTGTAAGGATACTCGGTTCTGCCTCTGTCTGGGTATAAGAGATGCAGATCAATCCAAAATTAGCACTGACGTTGATGCTGACATCAGTAGCAGTTCTGGTTTTGGCACCATCAGTGAAGTGCTACCAGCTGATTAAATGTCAGCAGAGGTAACAGTGTCACAGTGTTGCCATTGGCACTAATGATTCCACTGTTGGTAACTCAAAACCAGGTATCTTTCTCTTCTAAGAGAGCAAGTTTCAGCACTGATGTCTGGATCCTGCAAAAAGGTTGAGTGTAGGATTCAATTGCTCTAAGGACTGCTCCTAGAAGGCAGCGTAGCATGGTTCATACCAAGTTTGGCACTTTCTGGCCTCTGAGGTTCATCATTCTTAAAGAGATTTTCACCATCAAACTTCTACACTGATGCCACACTACTTAGGGTTATTGGTTGTGAACAGTGTGAAACAGTTTTGCTCCAGTGACCTGAAACCAGTCTCTACATGATTTCAAAAATACAAAAAGAATAATGATATGCTGTGGCCAGGGGCATAGTATAGTTGCAGAAGAGATCTGTGGCATATTATGAATAGGGCCAGTCCAGTCTAAAAAGAGGTCAGCCCCAAGTATTGCAGATGTGTGCCACTCTATAGCACCTATCCTTCTGACCAGAGCTTGCTCCCAAGCTGCCTTGCTACTTAGCTACACAAAAATACCAAAGCTGCCTCAGTATCAGCTCTGAGAGGTGCTTAGATTTGTCTGTCACATTCTCCAGTAGAATGCGTACTCTACATAACAGGAATTATGATGATTGGGAACATTATCTATGCAAAAAATTTCACACTCCTGATACAGTATTTTTCATCAACATATTCAGAGAACTTGCCAAATTATGTAGCAAAGGAGCAACAAATGACAGCTTTTTGAATAACCATTTTATCTGCAATGGTTCTATTTTATTGTAATTTCTTAAAGGCTTCCTAAATAAGATAGTCTTACGATTTTCAGGTTTATTCCCAAGTTCGTGTTATTCTTGCCTTTAAATCTAGTTACTTATTTCTTTGCCCTCCTCCTCCACCCTGCAGTATCTTTCTAAAACTCTAATCTTTCCTAGAGGCAAGAAGCCCCGTATCTTAGATAATTCAAGGTATCCCTGTCTGTTCCTGTTACCTCTGTTGCTTCTAGGGGTTCAGCTGTCTTCTTGTGTAGGATAGCAAAATTACTTAGGTTTTGGTTTTGAATCTGCTGTCATACCATACCAAAGGTGAGAAACTGCTTCCTCTGAAGATTAAAGCTCACTCAAGCAAACCTCAGCCTATGCATGCTTTAGAAACATTCCCATGTCTGAATTCAAATGTAACTACAGCGTATAAGCTTGCTATTTTTGTTAAATACCTTACTCTGTGTGGCCTATGAGGTTGGGAACTGAATTTGGTAAAGCTGTTTAAATAACTAAATAGTAGCAGTCAGGTATCTGATTCCACTGGTTTGGGGGTGGGGTGATGGTGTTTGGGGTTTTTTTAGCATACAATTAGACCTTTATAGACACCAGCATTGTAAAGAACTATTATTACAGAGTAACTCTTTTCCATACCTAATATCCAGGGAAAAAAAATTAGGGGTGATTTTGTAAAAAGCCATGCAATTGAAATTATTATGAAATTATTTTTTTTATCAATCAGTATCACTTAAGTAGCTCAGAAGGATGTGGGAAATAAACCCCCTGTGGATGCAGTGCTAAGAACTGGAAACTGATTTATTTATATTGCAAAGAAGCAACAAATAATAAATGTAGTTTGCCCTCTTCTGGGTCCTGAGTCATGCGCAAGGTAATCATCTGAGGACTTCCTCACAGAGGTTGGGGCTTTTGGTTGTTTGGTCCATGTCACAGTAGGAATTTCTCCCCTCGTAAAAAGCCTCTGCTGTACGAAATGAAACACAAGGCCATCTGGGCCCACATTTTTGACTGTGATACAGTATATTTTTTGTGAAATTGAAAAGCGACTGAAGTGTGAACTCATCAATATGTGCATGCCCTACCATTTTCTGATATTTTGACAGCTGCCCTTTGAAAAAACAGTTCTCTAAATTGCTGTTAATTAGAACTGGTAATCTGATAGTATAATAAAATTCCCCCTGTCAAATCGCAGATATTTTCAAAAAAATCTATTGCTCTCTAGAGTATTAAGTACTCCCTCCAAGTTTTTTTCCTTTTTGAAATGTATTGTCAGGCACTACTGAAACTAAAATTGTGTCAAAGCGCTTCTTACTGTGGAACTTCCATTTCTCCAAGACATGCAAGATAAAGCCTACCATATGTTACACTAGTATGTTAGGTGATGAAGAAAGCCTAGAAAGTATGTTCCCTTATTCATGCAGCAGCAAAATAAGACTTGAAGAGAAAACGCTAAGGAAGATTTATATAGCTTAATTCTTTGGCTTCAGAGAGACATGATCTGCTAGTGGTAAGCATACCAAACAGCGTATTTGCAACTCACTGCATATGCTGCCCAGGGAAATACAGTGCTCCTTTTAAATGGGGTGAGGTACAGCCATGAATTTATTACTTGCCTCCTGTAATTTAGCAATATAACACTATTTGAAAGGGACTGAAACTTCTCCTTAGAATAAATTCTCTTTATGCCTAGTTCTCAGTCACTGTGCCCTGATTTTATTGTGCTATATGTCACTATAATCTGAAGTTCAGTGTTTATGTGCATTGCCATCATTATCTCAATTGTTGAGATTTGGTTTCTCAAGTTACATGGGAAAGAAATTTGCTGTGTGAATGAAAGTTCATGTTTTAGCTTCCAGCAGAATACGATTTTTAATTTACTAAATTGGTTCAAAATAGGAATGACAGAACTTAGATGTCCACAGCTTAGAATTTACCCCCCTTCATAAACAATTGTATTATTTCCTTCTACAGTGGTTTTATTACCACTTAGTTGTGGGGTTTTTTAAAGAAAAATACAATATTTTATCTGAATGTGTGTTACCGAGATTTTTCCAGTTGATTTTTGCATTGTATTTTCAAAAAAAAGTGGTAGTAGAAGGCCAAGCTGTTCTGCCCACACAACCGTACCTTTTAGAAGTGACTGTTACTGCTGGGACGGATATCTCTTCTCTTTTCCTTTTCAGTTGAATAAAGTGAAGATACATGAACACATAGCTATCATCTCAAGTTGTTTGTAAGGTCATATATAAAGCCCTAGACCTGTTTTTAAAAAGCATCATGTTGAAAACATTTTGTACAAACAACAAAAAAAAATATTTTAAAATTATGTGAGATGATGTCCATTGCTTCAGTGTAAGGGGAGGAGTGAAGTGAACAACAGTAACTGAGCTTAAAACCTTTTTTCTGGACGTTTCTCCTTCACATGCGCACACACTTTACTCTCTCTCCCACATTCTTAGGAAGAATACATTAATCATTTTGTGTTTCCAGTTGCTCTTCTCCTAAGAAATGACTGGAGCGATGCTCTTTATGTTTGGAGAATTGGGAGGCTGTATGGCGTAAGTCAGTAAACACTAAGATGATAGCACTTAGAGCCGGGGGAGAGAAAGAGAAGCAGCAGCTGTTGCTGCAGAGCACAAGGAGCTTTTTTTCATCAGTCTTAACACATGAATGAATATTCTCACAGTACATATCTGTTTAAAATCTTCTTGTCTTGGAGGTTAGGAACATAAGGAAAACTTGTTGAACGATGCTAATGTTTTTAGGAAGAAATGTTTCTTAGATCTTTCTTCTAATTAAAAAAAAAAAAGAGGGAGGAATGTCTTAGAAGTTGATCTTTTTTTATAATATTGTCAGAAAAAAATGTAACATGCCAAGGAAATGGCAATTAAGACAGCTTCTAACATGTTAATGCAAATTGACAAGTACTCTATATATATGTCCTTAATTTATTTTCTTTATTATTAAAGGTTTGACAAGGTCATTAATACTTTTTTGTCTTGGTTAGCTTCAGCGTCCCTTTTGCTTTTCTGTAGGTTCTCCTTTTCCCATGTTTTTTTTTCTTCAGGGTCATTTTTAAAAGTTTCGACCTGCTATTCTGTGACATGGAATTTCAGAATTTTCATCCATGTATCTAGCTGCTTGCTATAAAATAACTTTCAGAAGATCTTAAAGTCCTACGTTTTACCAAGCAATTACCTCATCTTAAAACTGAGTTTATTCCTTAGTTTTTTCCAGTACCCTAGCACTGTTTCTAACGTACTAAATAAAAGTGACTGTCTGTGCTACTTAAACCGTTTGAATGTTTTTAGAAGTTTCGACCTGCTATTCTGTGACATGGAATTTCAGAATTTTCATCCATGTATCTAGCTGCTTGCTATAAAATAACTTTCAGAAGATCTTAAAGTCCTACGTTTTACCAAGCAATTACCTCATCTTAAAACTGAGTTTATTCCTTAGTTTTTTCCAGTACCCTAGCACTGTTTCTAACGTACTAAATAAAAGTGACTGTCTGTGCTACTTAAACCGTTTGAATGTTTTTAGCCAAACGTGGCCCTTTCCAACTACCATGCTCCCCAAATCATCCCTTGGCATGTTTCAGCAGTTAGAAAGGGATAGAAGGCATTTCCAGTCAGCAGTTTCTGTGCAGCCTACCCTGCTTTTGGACTTCTGAGAAGGTTAGCTATGAACTAGCTGCCCTTGGCTCCCATCAACTCATACAGATAAGAGCCGGTAGGGTCTATGCATGGTTGAGGTAATGCCTTGCTGCTTTCATAACGTAATGAAGATAGATCATATGAAACAGGATTAAAGCTGCACATTTAAAAGCATTACAATAAGCCATGTCTCTTGAGTCTCCTACCTTTTATTCTTCTTCAGACTTGCTTGTTCTGAGGAATTGCACCTATCCACTCGTAAAATAAACCAGACTTGAAGTTTTATCTCAATTCTGACAGTCAGGCTGCAAATTTTTTCTAGAGCTATCATGTGAGACTAAGGCTACACAATGAGAAGTCAAAGGCCAAGAAAGGAACGCAGAAGCAAAGGAACAGGGTTAGGGCACCAGGTCTGTGACCTGCGGTCATGGCATGGGGTAAAGGAAGCCAGAATGGGTTGCAGCTGAGGTAACTTAGGGGTTTAAATTTACTTTGTAAATTTAATACATTCTAATAATGTGTTTGAATTAAGGTTTAAATGAACATTTCAAATGTTTGCTGGAATTTTGATACAGCATCACTAGTCAATGGAGTCAGAATCTTTCATGTCTTTTCCTTCTGAAAAACTTTCCAACCAAATACAATTCTTCTATGCTTTGTTTTTCTTGTCTGTAAATTAGAAATAATAAGAATACTTTCTCTTATTTAATGACACAGGAGCTAAATGAATGGAGAGTAATGCCTTGTAGTCCTTATTTTTGTTCATGGGAATTTTGCAGGCATGTATTTTGGCAGTGCAGTGTGTTACTTTTTTTATTAATGTCAATATTTTTTCCAATCTTTTAGGATCTCAGCAGCAAGGACATGAAGAGAGATTTGTACATAGTTGCCCATGTAATTCGAATAGGTATAGTATGATTTATTACTTGACATAAATGCAATTAACAATGTTTTTACAATATTTTTAAATGTATGTTTTACTTAACTGACATTATAATGATTTAATCAGTTAGAAAACTTTCATGCCTATGTGCTGAGATTAATATTCAGACCATATGTAGCTAAGTGTTAAAAGGTTACTGGTGACTGTTTAACAGTGGTGTTTTTTTTCTTAGTCTGAAACAAAATATTTGATTAAACACCACATTTGGGGGAGGAGGAAGGCTTTTTGTTGGATGTTCCAAAATGTCAAATGAGGTTTTCTTACTGATGATATATAGCTGGTTTACAGGGCAGGACATCAGTGTACCTGGCCATTCACATCTAGTAAATCAGAGGCTGTTAGAGAAATACATATAAGATGGGGTTTCTGCTGCATGAGTCTGCAGTGCATCCAGGAATCCACACTCAAGTTTAGGGAGATGCCTATAAAGCATAAGAGCAGGGAAGCTGTCACAGCTGTCAGGTGCTCTTTCTACCTGCTGATGCCAAAAAGGAGCAGCAGCAGTACCTGCCTGCTGGCAACCTATCAAGCTCACAGCCTGACGTTTAGCAGCATATGCTTGCTTCTTTCCAGGTTCTCTTGGCTGCTCGCATAGAGCTATTCAAAGGAGAGATCTGGATGCGTAGTACCTGACCGTACCCAAGGAAGAAAGTCCTTACTAATTCACTTGACTACTCGCCCTTCATGGAGTGGGTTTCTCGTAGGCCAGGCTAGGCTTCATTTATTCTTTTTGAGATTTGCAGAAGCAAGAATGGAATGTGTTTGTGATTGAAGTTGAATTTAGAATGTGTCTTATATGGTATAGTAGTAGTGCTCAAAGTAGTTCACAGACAGCTAGATGAATTTTTTAGCCTAGCATTGTGTTTAAGCGAAGTGACTGTATGACTTCTGGTACGTGAATTAAATTGCTAGAATCAATTCTAGATGGAAGGTGCTGAATAGCAAAAAACTCTAGTTAATAAGGCTATAATTAGTTAGTAACAGGGAGTTAAATGGTTCTAAACTATGAATATGTGTACTTTCACCAAGAAATTAGCAAGTAAATATTTTACGTATGTTAAGTATTTAACAATATATAGCAGGAATAACAGACGGTCTCTTCAGTTGTATTATTCTAAGCAATGGGATAGTGCATTGTCTTTCATGTTTCCCAGGTTTTCACTTAACTGAAAAATGGCTAGGTAGTATCTGCATTGAAGGGTATTTAACCCTGTTTACCAGCCCCAGGTATCTTTTCTGAAAGTACAGATCTAAACAGATTAGTGACACCATAGCTTTGTTGTGTTGTCCCATGAATGACAGTATGCCTTCTAAGTCATAAATGTGTTAGAAGAATCAGTTTTTCATTATCTGACTTCACTGTGTCACAGTGTCTAAAGTTAGAATTACTCTGTATCACTTGAGATGATAAACGAAGCTTGTAGAAAGATAGGATGTAGTTCAAGCTCAGATTCTTAACCTTGATGCAAGAAGTGCTGGACAAATTATGTGTAATGCTAAAAGTTGGCTTAGATTATTCTAGTCATTTTTCTGGTCTTGGCATTTTTTACTCTATTAAAAAACGGCTTGAACAACAGGAAGTTAATAATTGAGCAGCTTTGTATCTCAGAATTCTCCTTTATGTGCTCCAAGACAAACAGGATGACTCAATATATAATACATTCCTTTAAAGCAATATATAATGAATAAAAATAAAGTGAAAAATTGTGTAAGTACTATACTATAATGGAAGGGACCACACTGAATCTTTCTGTAAATGCAGAGAGGTGAGTACAAGCTGTATTCTTGGCTCATTCAACAGATGATTTGTAGTCAACCCAGCTGGATGCAAATGTGTGTCATGCGGCTGCAAATCAAAGATGGCCAGACATGATGCTCTTCACTTTGCCCTTGAGTGTTCTGCTAGCTAAATGAGGTGATGGGCCTAAATCAAAGAGGCCCAGTGGGTCAGGTAGGCTCAAGTGGACCTCTGGATTTGAAACTATGTAAAAAGACAAAAGAGTGAGAAGTGCAGGAAACACTGCAAGATGTGGTTGAAACTCACTGTAGATATGCACATTCAGAGGGATAATAGAACAGAATAGACAGAATGGCTCCATGTGAATGTCTAATGTTTTAAATTTCTTTTAATTTTAGGTCGCATGTTGCTAAATGATTCAAAAAAAGGCCCCCCTCATTTACACTATCGCCGCCCCTATGGCTGTGCAGTATTGAGTATCATGGATGTACTTCAGTCAATCTCTGAAATAAAAGAGGAGAAGGATTTTGTTCTCAAAGTTTACACGTGAGTAACTCCTAGAAGGGAAAGAATTAGGAAGAACACTGTATATGTTGGGTGATGAGGTTAGTAAAGAGATATTAAATATCATGGTACCAGAAACTGTGTTTGCTGCTTTATGCTCTTCACAATGTAAACTATTGTTGGTATTCTTTTTGCTCCTTTATTATTCCAGAAGCTCATAGAAACTAATGAATATTATCACAGATGTATCGGGTATGTGAAATGCTTCAGAAATTATTTAATATTGCCCAAATTTATGTGACCAGCAAAGTTGCACTTTTATTAATACGATTTATTTTAAAGCTGCTAAGCTCAAAACAGAAGAAATAGGCTGTATTTCACCTGATGATGGACATAGTTACTCATGCCTTATCTCCTATTCCTTATCAGTCATGGTGACGAACAAAAGCAGTAGAAAACAACTGAAGTCAACAGTGTGTGACCAGAAAACTCAAAACAAGTCAGCATTTTTTGAGCAAGAATCTATCTTCAGTTATTTGTGATTTTGAACTTTGAACTAACAAATTCTTACTATTAAATGTGGTCTCACAGTCATAATAAAGAGGGCACAGACAAACTGTCTGGAGACTTCAGGGAATATTTGAATCTCTTGTCAGTGAGGATTAAATACTGGCAAGATCTGCTTTGCAGAGGGACTGAGATACAGCTGACATTCCTTATTGGTCTGTGGCCACTATCTGAGTAGTAAGGTTAATTTGGGGGGGGCTATAGTACTTTGTTATTCTCTGAGAAGTGCATTCAGCAGCAGAAAATCTGACATTCAAGGGAAACTATAAATGAAAAAATGGCTTTCACTCTTCAGTGAAAGATTCTTGGATATCTCTTCATACATTAGAAGTCTGTAAGTCCAAAGAAAAGTCTCTCAGAGTCAGCTCTTCCATTCTTCTTTTGCCAACTGTTATGAAAACTGTAGCAAAAATGTCAAGCTAGAAGGCAGAAAATGGTTGTCTTCTCTTTGCCAATAGAATCTGGATAATATTGGCGTTTTGTCACCATTCAGTGTCAGCTTATCTCAGACCAGTGGTTTTTGGTTATATGGTTTATGTTAATATTGGCTTTGTAGATATGTGTTAATATATTGCAACTGCAACATTTTGAATGTTTACTGCAATGGAACATTCAGAATATCAGATTTCTGTTTCGATGGCCTTTTAATGCATCTTTAGCTTCTTACTGAAAAATAGGAGCAAAAAAACCTGTAAAATACTGGACTTCTCCATTGGTCAGTGACAAAAGTCATGCAGCTAGTTAGAGCAATCCAAAATCCTAGTTCTATGATCTAGGATGACAGGATAGAGAGCTTCCCTTTTCTTCCTCTTAATCTGAAGTGTTTTGTAAATGTGGATTCCCTTCACACCACCCAAAGTACCAGCTTTGTCCACCTAAAGGTGTAAGTAGGTTTATACCAGCTGCTGTTGTTCATGTCTGCTTCCCCACACCCTTTGCTTTTAACATCCACGCACACCCGTTACTGCCTTCCGAGAGAGGGAGTAGAGCCCATAAGAGAATTCAACTCTGTAATCAGATGCTTGTAATTTTTTATCGCTATTATCATTCGCTTGAATTGTTATAAGCCTTGTACATCATTATTTTATGCTACTGCTGTTGGGAGTGTTCTCTGTAAACCTCCAACAAAAATCTTCAGAAGGGAAAATGGATATATCTAAAGGGCACCAGCTTATCCTTTTTGCAGCTTTAATAGCTGTTGGTCTTCCATGACAGAATGTTTTCACAGGTTTATCTGCTTGCATCTTCTCTTTGCACATTCTTTTAGCTAACCTACCTTTTCTTGCTTTGTAGACTAAAATTGAAATGACACATTTTTGTCCTTTGTAAGTTTAAAATTATATATGAATGCTTAAACAACACTGAACTGATTTTCTTACCTGCTGCTCTCATTTTGATTATTGTTAAAATGCCTCAGGCCAACCCAAAAATACCATAAAGATGAAATAAGGAGGGAGGTGTGTTTGTATTTTTAAAGGAGCGGGAAAAATAATTCTTTTTCTAGCTATCTGGCTAAAGCTAAAGCTTACAGCTGCCACAAATGAGGCAGTCAGCATACAGCCAGAAAAGCCTTTTCATGGGGAGAAGCTGGAAAAAATTTGAGAGACTGAAAACCTAACAAAGGCTGAAACAAATACATGGTGTTTTAAATGGAGACTTTTGCTGGATCCAGAAGAGGAGAATGTT